ACTTTCTGCAGGAGATGTTACAATACTTGAGGGGATTGGTGGTACAGCCGGACTTGCCACAGGAGTTGGTGCTGCAGGTACACTCTCTGCAGGTATAGCCGGTGTTTCCGCAGGAGATGTTACAATACTTGAAGGGATTGGTGGTACAGCTGGACTTGCCGCAGAAGTTGGTGCTGCAGGCATATTTGACACGTCATCTAAAAACATGAACAACAATTAAAAGTATTAATCATTTGTTTGTATTATGCATTGTTTTATAGTTTAAGATATTTGAAATTAACATTAAAATATTTGTTATTATTATTATTTTTTTTTTTAATAATATGTATTACATACTCAACATTAATATTTCTGAACGAAATCAAATTAAGATTTTATGCCCTACGTTTTTAGTCATTTTTTAGATTCTTAATTGTTCCCAAAAGGTATAATAATAATCTGATAAAATATGGTTTTGTATACTATTCACGCAATGTAATATATTTTAATATTTTTTTTTTTTGCGTGGATATAAGTTAAATTCTAGTAAAGGCAACACAACGTTTATCCTAAATTTAAAGTTCACACATCTTTTTCTAAATTTTGAATACAAAAATTAGAAATTTTACGATTTATAGCATATATATTAAAATGCTTGTAATCACGTTCCAATATATTCGCAACTCAAAATTAAGAATAATCAGTCATGTAGGTGAACAGTTTGATAGTATCACTTTATTATAGTTATCGTGCCACCAACCTTAACTGTCTATATTTAATACTTTTAAAACACGATTTTCAATATGTATAGTAAAAACACAATTTTTTATAGCGATATTCAATTCGTTTTAAAAAATAAAAGTATTCAAAAGCTCGTGACTTGGGATGCATATAGCTGAGCAATCGTTTCGCTTCACTAAAGTTCACGTACAGGTTTGTTGTAATCATTTTTCAAGACACCATTTTAGATATCTTGCCATACCCTCTCCTATATGCAAAAGATGTAGAAATATGTAAAAGGTATTTGAAAATAGGAATATCAGGTTGGAGAAAATATACGATGTTGCATTAAAATAAGGAATGGGGTTGTTTAAAATGTAATAGTAATAGTAATTTTGTCACGGTTTACAGCCACGGGAATGGGAAAAAACACTTTTGTCGGAACAAAAACAATTTTCGTAGGAGATATTCGTAAGTTCAAAAGAAAAAAAAAATCTTATCAATGCCACTGATAAAAATAATATTATAAATCCGTAGTAAATCATTGTATTTTGGTAAAGATCCTGGACGATCCTTGTGGTGTTTTGAGGATGTATTCAAAACCGTAGAAATTCGCAAAAAGCTCACAAATTGGTATAAGAGTTTCTATGTCTATAGAAAATTCATTGTACGATATGGTTTTAAACGATATTTTTTTTCATTGCACACCCGTGTAGAACATTATGATTTGTAATTTTGTAATTATGAAATTTCGGAAAATGGTAAGAATCGCAAATTGAAAACGTACCTAACCAATAATGCGTCAATAATCCATCGAACTCCGAACAGCTAATCCGTTAAGCGTTACGCGTCCTAATATTCATGAACCCCGTCGAAACTTCAAATGTAATCGGAACACAAAATGCGGGGTAATAGAACGCGGTGTTGCGTTCGTGAGACGCATTCCGTTTCGTAATCGCTGCTCGAACGCTGGCGAAACCGATCATCGTGCGCAACGAAACTATGCGAAAACAAATGTTTAAGATAACGCGTATCACAGTGGTGTTATCTGCGCGCCCGTTGTTCACAAGACCCGCGCGCGATTAACGAATCACGAATACCACGGATGTCTAAAATTGTAAATCGCAATGCCATCGAAAATACGGGCGAGTTATTCGTACGAGTTCTCGTAAGCGCGCGTACGTGCAACAATGCGTTGTAGATTTTTGCACCGAAACGGACCCGAGACCGAGGGAAACCGTATCGTATAGGCGCAATTAGCGGGGGGGGGGGGTTAGTCCCCTCAAAAACATTCAAAGCCCCCCCCAAAAAAAAAAAAAAAATCATGCAGAATCTTATATTATTGTAGTGATAAATAAAATAAAATATATGTGATTACTACTGAAAAAATGTTATTTAATTAAGTTTTACTTGCCTTCCAATAAGCACATATTTTTTATAGAGAGTGAAGGGTGTAAAAAAAGTTCCTGAGACGCAGTGATTGAAAAATATATGGGATGGGTTGAAGTCCCCCAACATATTTTACTCTTATTGCGCCTATGGGTACCATCGTCGCGTATTCTTCGTTGGTCCCTTTTCGAAAAGAAAGAAAAACCCTTTTCGACCGTCGCACTCGTCTCGCGTCCGTTAACAACGATTGTCGGTCAACATTTGCGTTGGGCTCGTCTCCCGTTCTTTCATTCGATCGACGAACGAAACGGGTTCGCTGTGCACTTGTTTCGTACACCTGACTAGGTGACAAAGGTCGATCCGTCTGTACCAGTAGCGATTCGTAGTAAATATTCTGGTGAGACTTAAATCATATTATATAAACTTCATACAACAACGCACAAGAAAAACCGTTTTATTGGAAAATAAATTATACTTGATTTAATATTTAGTCAGTAACTTAATTAAATTTAAGTAAATTTTTTTATAAGCTATTCTGCAACTTTTTTTTATCTACGTATTCGTAGATGGCGGTGTACAGCTACTTACGACGGAAATTATTGTCGTGAACCCAGTTTCAATGGCGTCTACAACACGCGAATTATTCACGCCGGTCTCCACCGACCGACAAGCTTAACAACATTACGTGTTACGGTTGAACCTGTCGGACGTTAGTTTCACTGAAACGGCGACCGTCGTCGAAATTACCGGAATAGTGTTTCCATCGAAATAACTATCTATAACTATTTAAAACTACTTATACGCTTTATATTTTGTGGCCTTAAATCTATAATAATAAACGCAGAACACACGAGCATTTTCAATAAGAATAAAAATATTTCTGTACATTTTAAAATAGTTATTATTCACAAGTAGCTGTTTTTATTTATTTATTTTTTTTAAAGGGGAGACGCTGTCTCGAAGTCTCCCCTGACGATCCGCCTCTGGTCCGTAACCCCCGTCGACGCCATCCCGTGCACTGGATAAGAGGACGTTTTCCGACGACTTCGGCTCGGCGCACTTCGTAGGAAACTTCGCGAACGTCTCGTCGTATACGCCCGTACACGGCCCCGAGGACGATTCGACCGATTCGCGAGCACGCTGGGCAAAGACGTAATAACAATAATAACAATTGTAACACGGAACCGTGCTCGTTAGTGTTCCCGTAAGAACTCTGCGACGTGTGCACCACCCTTGGTTTGGTTAGGCTTACACGACTTTACACGCGTTCGAATCGACTGCAAACGCTAAAATCGCACCGCGGCTCGTTTCGCATGGAACACGGTGTTTGTTTTTGTTCGTTTACTGCGTACGGGATGCGGGTGGGGACGTGCGGAAAACACACGATCCGGACGTTTGAACTCAACGTGCGGTTAAAATTAAAATATAAAAAGCGGTATTTAAAAAATAAATTTAGAAAAAAAAAAAAAAGCAATTGAATATACGAATATGAGGAGTGATGGGAAAACACTCGTCGAACAAATTAAATGTATTCGTTTGTTGTTGCTAAATTTTTAATTTTTCGTTAGTACTAAAATCAATAAAACAAAAAAGGTGGATGAGCGATTTCAAAATGCTGTTTTTTTAAGTTTTTTTAAGTATAAAATTGTTATTGATAACACGTTCTGACAAGAAAGAAAATATTAATAAATCGTTGGTTTGTAAATAAAAAATAAATACATATTCTGCTTCAGGAAATTATTTGCACCCCTATAGGTAAAAAATATCCGTGTATTCGCCCAACTCTAATCAATAGTGATGGGCCTCGTAGGCCGTTGCATAGCGATAATTTGCTTCGTATTAGCAGCACGTAACGTGGCACGAAACTGTGGCCTGGCTATCTGGTGAACATACGCAGCGAAAAATAGCACGATTCGTTTTGTTGTTATAACGTCCAATCGAACCGCGTTGAGGTTTATCAACAATCGGTCGGCCGCAAATAGTTGTTATTAAAAAAAAAATATTACGAATAACGACTAATCTTAAAACGGTCGGTGGTCGCCGGCGTATTCGCCGCGATTAAACCGAATAAGTGTGACGCGAAACACGAATTCCAGTCGGACAGTAATGTTGATACGCGTAATCTCGTGAAAGAAAAAACCAACCGACAAGCGTACGCGGGAACGGCTACGCCTAAACCCGGGCACGGTCGTGCGCGTCTCCGCTCACAGAACTCGATTTTAATATAATTTTAAAAATTGATTCGGTGGTGAGGGGGGGGGGGAATATGTTTAATTAGAACGCTTCGATTACATGTTTGATCTGTTCCGGGTCAAACGCGCATCGAAGATTACCGGTCAGTACCGGGTCCAATCACTAACCAAGGGAGGGGCTAATGGAGGTTTAAGAATTTAGTTGGACGGATTTTTAAATCCATATAAAATTTTAAATCACAGAATATGTTTTCGAGTCCCTCATAAGTAATTTTTTTCACAATAATGACAAAGTTTAAATAGTTACGTTATTGGTATCAATTTTAATCTGAAACCATTTTAAAACATTCGTAAATACGTGTAATTAACAACAAAAATGTGTTATTTATTAATAAAAAAAAAAATATAAAATAGGTACCATATTCATCAATGACCATTGACGATATTTTACTATAAATATATTAATGTATAATAATAATTTGCTTCGTAAAACAGATAGCTTAGTCCTAATGGGGGGGGGGGGGGGGAGCTGGGCTAATGCCCCCTCAGCCACCCCCTTAAACCCGGCCGCGACCGGTTCATCATGATTGCTAAGAGGTATCGATTTTATCTTTTCAAACGAAAGATCGCCCATTTCCCCGGCCGTACGGACCGCGAGACATGGTGCACCGGAAAAGGATACGAAACAACACGGTTTAGACGTGACGGTGCGCGATCGGACTAAAACCTTCGGCGACCGTCGGGCGCGCGTTACTTACCGTTTACCGGGTACGCGTGAGCCAAACCCAGCGCGGCCAGGATCGCGCAGACACATCTGGTCGACGGCGACGACAACAACATCGCGGCACCGGGCGCGTGCCGGACGAATCTTCGGTTTCGGGGGTTGAGTTCGACAACGGCGAGCGAGCGTTGTCGACGAGTGCACCGCGGTGGTACCCGTTCGCGAGCCCGAAATGGAAAAAAAAAAAAAAAATAAAAAATAAATCGCCGAACGATTGAAGAACAACAGCCGTAGGACCGGTCGAAGGGTGCCGAACGCGTAATGGACGGTCGTGGGCGAAACGGTACGCATTTATAGCGGTGCAGCCCCACGTCGCGGCGGCGTTCCGACGGGGACGGTCGTGGCACTGGTCGCGTTGCGCCGACGAGGAAATACGACCAGCTTGGTTGTGCTCCGTCGGACGTGCGTTTTCCGCCGAAACGTAATCACCGCCGGCGAACGCTGCGGCGACGCGAAAACAACTCCTATCGGTCACGTACGGGTTTCGGCCGCGGTTCGAATTTGTCCCCGCGCGCGGGCAACACGCCGTCGATTGTTGTTTCGGCGATTATCGTTTCTCGTTTTTTTTTTCCTTTATTTTTTTCACTCGCACCTTTGACGTTACGAAGCGCACGCGCGTTTTCTTATCGTGTCCGTTACACGGAACTCCGTGGGCGTCGCGCCGACAACGCAACTCCGTCCGATTGTCTTCGCCGACGAACAATGGCTAATAATAATATTAAACGCACTCGATCGTAAAAAAACGACGGCGATGTGTTTAATACCCCGAAAGCGGCTCTGCGGCGTCATTTGTTTATTGTCGCACGGTTTCTGCCGAAAACCGATCGCAACGGACGTGTGGGGCGCGCGCGCGCGCGCGTGCCCCGGCGGCTTCTGTTTTACGTTACCTATTGAGAAATGAAAATTACGTCGTTTTGAAATAAAAAAAAAAAAAAATCGAATAAACAAAGGAAATAATAATGTCCGATAAATTGTGTTCCGTTGCAGCGACTGCACTCGAGCGCCGGCCGTCCTGGACAACCCGAAATCAATACCTGTAATTACGTTGCAGCACCCTGCGCACTGGTCCGCTCGAAGGCGCGAGAACATAAATTCTACGCGTTTCTTAACCGGTCGACGACGACAAATTTTAATAATAAAACAAATAAATATTCTTAAGCGTATACATTGCTTCATCACGTGCGTGTAACACGTACGTCTGTTTGCTTTCTACGGAAAAACATAAAATACGGTTCGGCGAATTTATTGCGTTGGATATCGTAACACGCATTATTAACTACAAATGATTAGAGGCTCGTGTTTGGACGTTTTTAAAGGTTGACGTTATTTATTTGAATCCGTATGTTTACCTATTGTCCGATAATCTGTAGATAAATATTACAGTTTTCTGTTCGATTCGTATACATTTTCTCGTTGTATCTATATGTTTTTCGTTCTACAGAAATGTAAATAGTATATTCCGATTTATACCGACATTTTTTTTTTTTTTAAACCCAATTGATTTAGTGTCAAAGTTTAATCCAAACATTGTACCATTGATATGATGATATTGAAACATGTTAAGATTAATCTTGTAAAACCAAAAGTTAGACTCGTCGAGTGTTGATTACAACATGTTCATGTGTTGACTAACTTTATTTTTCACCTATTTTGATGTATCTCAACACTTCTAATGATGCGATTGTAAATAAAAATAATATACTTATATTTATAATACACTATAGGAAATATAAAAAATAATATTTTTACAAAGAGACAAGTTTTTATATAAAAAATATTTTGATCGATGATTAAACTCAAATAAGAAAAATTAAAACTAATTTTAAAGACCATAATAATTTTAGTTACTTGCTTAAGTTACTTTAAATAAAACTTTACCAAAGAATTTCAAATTATATAATTTTTAATTATGGGTAGTAATTTCAAATTGCATGAATATATCATACACAATTATTTTGGAAAGGATTCGGTGAAATTCATTTTTGAGTGTTTAACAAACACCGATTATCATTCTCATTTCCTAAGAAGTCCTTTTATAATAAATTGTATATTATTTCAAGTTAATCATTAATTATTATCACGTATTTATAAATCGTAAATCTTAAAAACTCAAAATTTCTCAACCAAACTGTCGATAATCAAATGTTGATATTTGGTTTTTCAGTTCTGGAAAATTCTATGAAATGCTTTTCATAGGTATTTAAAGAGAGAAATTAATATTCATTTGAGAGATCAACATAATAAAGGGTTGAAAAAATATATAATATTGAAATAATACAAAATAATTAGTTTTAACACATTGTTATTCACAGTGTAGAATTTATTAAAAATATATTGACTCGAGGAAAATATTATTAAACTTAAAACTAGTATTTTATTCATTTATAGTTGAGAAAGTTTTCTACCTAGTATAGTTCGTAAAATAATAGGATATAATTAAGACAAAACAAAAGAGTAAACTTTTAGATAATAATCCGTTATTATTTACAAGTTAACACCTGTCAGCTCGTGTTCCGATCGTTAACGGTTAGAAAAAATCTAAATAATACCGTGAATTTTATACAAGTATGTTGTGCTACGATATTTTATTTATGTAAAGTAAATCGTGATATAAAATGCTCATGAAGTATTCATGCGAAAATATTGTTCTAGCTATTTCGATATAGTATCCCGGAGGGTTGTGTTCGTTCATATTTAATATTTTTTAAACAAGACCTACTGGTCTTTTCATTTTTTTCCGAAATTGTGTTTTTCGCACTACGAAACCGCGTTTTTGATGTTTTGATAAATTGAACATTGTGTTTTGCAAACTATTGTTTTACACATAGTTACGCACCTCTATACGTGTTTAGCGCGTGAAATAATTATGATGCGGTTACTTCTCCGTCCACGGCGTATAAGCTGTACGAGCCAACTGCGAAACAGCCGAACGTTAAAAACAATATTATTGTTTTGTTTTTAACGAGTGGCCAATGTATGCAATCGTATTATATAGGTAATACAACCACAACCATGTTCACTTACGAACCAGGTGTTTCAACTTAAAAACATATAAAACAGTAAATTACTATAACGGTATAGTTAGGAATTTGATGGGCGAGAGTGATTCAATTTTTTTATAATATTTTTTATATTTATTTTTAATTTCTAAAAATCAAAATTAGTTATGTTATCGTTGGATTACTATTTAATTATATTCATAGTTAATAAAAATATTATAAATAGAAGTTATCGATCAGTTTTATAAAACTAAATTCGATTTCCTAAGTTTTTCGGAAAATTGTACGCGGTAATGTATTCATGCATAAAATACAGAAATAAAATATTAGTAAAATAAAACTTTGAAGGAATCCATACCTCTCGTCCGCCATCAATTACGTCCCTGTACCGCTGTGTTGTAGGTATATTTTATAATATGTATACAGGTCACAGAACCGTTTGGATTTTGATAATTATATAACTCGGTCACAGCGATCAAATGCTATCATTCGACAGCATTTATTCTGTACAACGGTTTACTGTGTAATGTGCGTTTCACGTTACCGCGATTTAATAGCTGCAGTGGTTGCGCGCGACCGTTGACCGTTGTTTGGTTACATTAGTGCCCTACATATTACGGCGTACATCATTCGGAGCGGATATCTGCAACAAGGGTTGAGGGTACATTTGATTTGCGTACGGTCGCATGAATAATAATAATGCCACTCGGTCGAATCGATAAACGAAAACGACCCGATATAATATTGATTCGCGGATCGTATGCTATGCAATTTATATTCAAATCGAAAATACACGATTCTCGTAACTGCGGTGCCACCGTGTACCATATAACAAGACGTACAATAGACTCAACAACGTATTCTATTACCTCACGTTATGCTGTACCGGGTGATATATACGCACCAAGACGTTAATAATAATTAACGTGTATCGTTTTTTTCGTTCGATTACTTGTGCTTATGAAATAAAATACGCATGCACTGGATTCCAAATACATTTAAAGCGTATATTATGTACGTTCTACGAACTGGACCCGTCGAATACAATATACATGTGTCAGAGACGTATTTAGACATACTTTGGGGGGGGGGGGAGCATTCAAATTTTTTTCTTTAATTCAGACTCAAAATTTACAAGTAAAATTGTTAGTAATATTTAAATCAGGTGAATCCTCAATAATTGTAGTTTTTTCTTTTTTTTAATCTAATGCCGGATACACTTACAATTGACTTTTATGTAGTTCTTTTTTTAACGCCTGTCTGTGTTTTGATAGTTACGCTTGTGTTTTATTTGATTTTTCACTGAGTATGGATCCGACGAAAAGCCCAAATCAATAATTCACATTAAAAAATTGAAATGTGTATCTCACATTTAATCGATTCCTTAAATACGGATTCAGGGTGAAGTCGCCCCCTTCGCCCTCTCCACCCTAAAATACGCCCATGACACGTATAAGCATATTTACGAGAAGCGAGGATTTATTTTTTTTTTTAATAAAAAACAGAATCGACTATGAGTGTTAATTACCAATCGTTTTGTGTAGACACCTTTTGGTTCGGAAGAAAACAAAAAAACTTATATCATAATTCGATAAAGTATTGTCGCTCTTTTTTTAGATCATTGTCAGGTTTATTTAATACTTTTTAGTACGACCAATGGCACCATCACTTTTCTTCCCTATCGTGTTTATATAACGCTTTTTATTTTCACTCTTACAGAAAACAACTTGACATCCCGTTTAAAATCTATTGGCCGGAAGACATTCAAAGTCACTTTTGGGCACCGAAAATATCCTAAATGGATTATAAAAGTAAAACAACCTTTAACAAACGACAAACATAGTTAACCCAGTAGTATCGTCATAAAAGTGGAAAAGTTTTTAACAACTTGGTCTATTATGGTCCATTTTCAATACCGTATAAAATATAAATTATGGTTATTCGTACTTTGAAACATCTAAATTCAAAGATTTGAGACCCAGCTTGTCATTCATTCGTGGATTTGGATAGTTTTTTTCGTCCACAATAGAAATCGATTTTCTAAAAACGAAAATAATGATAAGGCGTTGATCGGCGACTCACGCTTATATTATACAACATACATTCTGTGCGCGAATACGTACATTTGTTAGGTTGATTGTAACAAAATGCAACGTATCACAACCAATATTTTCGAGTATGCGAACACTTAGTAAAAAAAAAAAAAATGGAATCAAAAGATAATTAAGTATTTTCCTGAAAACCTCTTTTTAGACAGTTACAGATCGTCCGGTTCAAAAACATGTGACGCGTATTTGATTATAATACTTTAAGTTTTTTTTATTTTTTTTAATTTAACAGCGTTACATTATAGATAATTCTATAAGAACCAGAAAACGTTTTGTATTCCTATACGTTTATGTTA